TCAAACTGCCAAGCTTTATGTGTGCGGCACAATTCCTTTCTTAGCCACTAGGCCACCAGAGTGGTAGTGTGACGCAGGTTTAGAAGCAAAGCAGAAATGAAATATAAACCATAGATAGAATACATAAGAAGAATGTATGAAGATCTGTTAATGAGGACTTGAGGTGGAATAAAAAGTTGCCCTTGTGGCATCATGTTAACGGTTGAGCTTCTCTGTGAAAAGTTGGCAGTACGGATCCACCAACGACTTACAGGGGAAAGATGAGGTTATGTGGCCCGTAAATCTACAGCCTTGAAGCTCAATGAAGGGTCAACATGAGTGAAATAGCCTCAATGACAATGAGTTTTTTGTTTGGGGAAGTATCATTTTTCTTAAGAAAGAAAAGTCATGGTTGACTAATGTTTGACAAGGAGAAGAAATCAGTCAAGTGGGGAATCAACAGCCTCTTTATCAAGTGGTGTTGGTGAATTTGGAAACCATCTGTAGAAAACTCAAGCAAGACCTACATCTTACACTCTACACAAAAACCAAATTAAGGTGAATCAGGAACCTAGAGGTAAAACCAAAGACCATAAACTTCAGCAGAGAAAAGCTTGAAAGAACTCTAGAAGCCTTAATCAACAGTAAAAACAGTCTTCCAAGTATCATAAAAACCCTACAGCTAGGAAAGAATAAAACAGATGAATGGGACCTTCTAAGAATCAAATCCCTATGTATATCAAAGAACTTCTCCAACAGGGTAAAAAGGAAACACACAGACTGGGGAAAAATATTTGACAATGACATATCTGATAAGAGACTCATATCTAAAGTTTATAAAAGATTCTGGCACCTCAACAAGAAAAAGGTAAACAACCCAATCACAACATGGACAAAGCATATGAACAGACACTTCACCGAAGAAGACATTCAGATGGTAAACAAACACATGAAGAAATGTTCAAAATCCCTAGCTCTCAGAGAGATGCAAATAAAAACAGCTTTGAGCTATCATCTCACTCCAGCAACAGTAGCAAAGTTCAACAGAGCAGCAAACAAATAATGCTGGTGAGATCGAACAGTGAAGAACAGTGGAAAGATTGGAACCCTTATTCACTGCTGGTGGGAATGTAAAATGGTGCACCTACTGTGGAAAGGAGTCTGATGATTTCTCAAAAAGTTGGAAATAGAAATAGCAATTGCAATGTTGGGAATATATCCTAAAGAAACCAGAGCTGCCACCCAAACAGCTGTATGCACACCCATGTTTATTCCTGTGTTACTCATAATAGCAAATGGATACAAGCAACTCAAGTTCCCATCAACAAATGAATGGATAGAACACTATGCAGCACTGAAAAGGAACTCATAAAACATTGCACAACTTGGGTGACCCTGGAGGACATTATGCTGAATGAAATACCTCAGTCACAAAATGACAAATACTGCATAACACCACTGTTATAAAACAAGATTGACATGGTGGGCTTTGGGGAAACTACAAAAAGAAGGTATAGATAATGAACAGTGCGTTGGAAGAGATGAATGAAAGAACTGTTTAAGAGGAATATAGATGATTAAGCATTATTTGTATGGCAACAGTCCAGAATGAGAGGTACATTATGAAATGGACTGGGGGCGAGGTAAGGGAGGAAGAGAGGGAAGAAATTGTGCAACAATGAATGAATATCTAAAAAAATAAAATTTTAACGGGGGAGAGGAGGGAAGAAAATGTGCAACAATGATTGAATGAAAATCCAACTTTTTTGTAAACTTCCATTAAAATAAAAAATTTAAAAAAATAAAGAAAAGGGATTTGTCAAGGTTTACTCACACAAAAAGCGTATACTTGAATATATATCTCCAAACAGACAGGGTAAAAAAAAGAACCCTGTGATTTAAAACACTCAGGGAAGAAAGGGTTTTCATGTAAACACGTGGCTGATCAAAAAGTATAAGCAAAAATACTTTCATAGCATGGTAGCTTTATAGTCAGAAAAGATCATTTGCTGATTCTAAAATGAATTTAATGTCCTTAACCAAGGTTCAGAGGATCACTACCATGCAAGAAAAATTAATGGGATGAGAAAGGAAAATAAAGTTTTAAAACTACAAACCTATTAGAATCTGTGTTTATGAAGAGGATTTTATTCAGTGTATAAAATTTTGCTTTTAAAATCATGAGGGCATTGCTATGTATTTTATTATTCATGGGTCAATATAACTAGATAAAAATCTATATTTTTATTACTTAAATGAATAAAGCATATATGGTGATTAAAACTCTTGGCTTTCCCAAACCTGCATGTTATGGCCTATAATATAACACATTTTTTTTTGTTTTTTTTTTTCTATAATTATATTTTATTAATTTTCATAAACATTTACAGAGATTTTGGGTTTCCATTCATTCATTGTTAACACATTCATTTTGATGACTCTTTCCTACATATGAGAAAAAAAAGTAAAAAAGCCATTTAAAATAGATGTCAATTTATCACATGTTGAAAGAAGACTAACAGTAGTAGAAATGCTTAGCAGAAAGAACAAAATTACTAAATCCTTGAAAATGGGTTAATAAAGAAGAATTATGAACTTGGAAACAGTATGTATGGTGTCTCATTTCAAAATGGCAAAGTAAAGGTATTTCTGCCTTCTCTCAAAAACACGTACAAAAATAAGACCATGAAGAAATGGAAACACTGATTTCCATGTTGGCAAACTAGAAGACATCTATGACTCCAAACTGCAGAGCAGTGAAAGAAAAATGTCTAAATGACTCAGAAGAGAGGAAGGTAAAACCCAAGCACCTGCAGAAAGGGATGGCAAATTGGAGAGCAAATGGATTCACCCTGGAGAGGAACTCCAGGGAGGCTAGTGCGTTAGATGCACCAATTACTGCATAAGGAGGAGGTGGATATGGAGAAATTGAAAGTTACAGTAAGAAGGCAGACTTACAAGACTCTCCCCATCCCGAACTTACTCAAGGCCTGCAGGAGACAAGAAATTACAGGCGGAGAAGTTACATCAGAAAATGTCAGGGCTGAAGGCGCCAGGCAAAGAGAAGCTTTGGAGTGAGAAAGGGATTTAAAATAGGAAGGTTAGGTACAATTGGACATTTTAAATAATGAGAACAGTTCTCAGCCCTATCAAAACCCAGAAAAGCCAAACTCCCTCATATTTGCGTAATAAGTTAGGACATAAAAAGTCTTTTGACCCCTTGTTATCCCTACAACACAATTATGTAATTCCCAGAGTAGGTATTAATTGTAATCATTAGTCTGTTGCTGTATAATTTGTTGGTCGTTATAAACCGGCTCTGACTCAGACCAAAAGACCCGGTGTTCAACTGAACTAAATCCTGCCCGATCCTCTCCATCCTCACAGTCTGGGCTGGGCCTCAGCCCCTGGTGCAGTCAGTCACTGTTACTCCAGATCATCTAGGGCCTCCCTCTTCACTGGTGCTCTTCTTTCCCAAGCGTGATGTCCTTCTGCAGGGGCTGGTGGCCCTTCCTCACCACAAGCCCAAAGTATTACGAGACGAAGTTTCACCGTCCTGGTTTCTAAGAAATACACTGGCTTCACTTCTTTCAGCACAGAGTTGTTCTTTTCACAGTCTGTGTACTCCTAATGGACTCTGAGCCCAGGGAGCCCTGGAGCCCTAGTAGACAGGGAGTTGTGCTGCTAATCCAAATGTAGTTAATCTAACGGTGGCTCCATGGGAGAAAGGTGGGCAGTCTTCTCTCAGATTCACAGTCTCTGAAACCCAGTGGAGGGTCAGCTCCAACAGACTTGAATTTGGATCTTGTTTTAAACTTAAACCGGTGGAAGTTGTTATCTCACTTGCAGGAAATCTAGTACAGCTGATAGACCTCTTCTGTCTTGTACTCCGAACTTTTGAAGCATATGACCTGCAAGGTTCTCATATCAGCAACCAGGATGGAGGATGGAGCACACAAGTCCATTCCTTGAACTCATAGCCTATTTAGATTCCTTATTGACCACGGTGGAAATTGAGAGAATGGGACAGGGTAGGGCAAGGTTCTGATCTTTTCTTCAGAGGAAAGCTGTGAGTTATAGTCAGCAGCACTTAACAGCTGAGGGTACCTCACTTGCAATCACAGACCAGTGATCAGAACCGCTCGGGAAACCTACAGAACAGAGCACTAAGTTGTACCATCTATGGAGTCTTGTTGAGTTGTTTTGTTTGTGTGTTTTGTTTTCTTTTTTACATGAAAATAAAATTACATTTTAAATCCATAAAGTAATACTGACTTCCTGCCTCCTATATAAGTTTACTCTAGCCAATACTAAGAATACAGAGGCATGTACGATATAGTTTCTGGTCTCCTGGTTACTCTAACATTTAATCTTTTGTTTCACACTGCCTTTGGAGTAATTCTTAGATCGTTTCCTTTCAATATTTTTGTTGGTAATGACCACGTAATCAGTGACCAGATGATAATCAAAGACTGTAAAAGAAGTTACTGTCTTGTTCTCATAGGATCTTGTATCCATGTTGCAAATGTCCCATTTTGGGATTTCCCCCACCCCCAGACCTTTTGCAAACTGTTCTTCCTTTCCCCTTTAATGAAAATAATTAAGAATTCTTTTCTTATAAGACCTTTAATACCTCGTAGATAAGTAACTGCAAATTCATCTATTTCACAGTCCTACCTTGTGGTTTATTTCTGGTGTTCACTGAAGCGGGTTTGTAAATTAATATTAATATGAGATGCTCTATAAAAAGTTTCCTAGTATATCAGGTGAAAGCAATTACCCAGGAAGCTTTTTCATATTTGAATCAGTCTTGCAAATACATTGCATAGAGTTTTTGAAAGGAAAGATCTTTTGTAATTTAAAAAAAGAATACATTTGATTTAGAAGTACTCTTTTAGCTATTCTTATTTACTCTAAATCTACAGCTAATGCTAGTGGAAGATCTAATTTTTAGTATTTGGATCCTGAGAATACTAATCAATTTTTCATAATGTTTGGTTTCCTTCTGTTTGGTTTTTCAGAGTACCCGAGTGGCCTTGGACCATCTGGAGTCTGTGCCAGAGAAACTGAACCTACTAGAAGATTCCAGAGACTTCAGAGTGAGGAAGAATTGGCTTGTCTTTTTCAGTATATTTATCTGACTAACAGCATTTGGCATCTTCCTGATGTGCAAAAAAAAAAAAAAAATAATGGCAGGGAGAGAGGAAGGACCCAAAAGAAAAAAATTGGGACTTCCACCACTCCCTCTTGTCAGAGTTCACTGACATGTGTGAAGTCAGCATTGAAATGAATGGAATTAATCTGTTCGCACAACAGACATTACTAGAGGATTTTGTACCCCTACTGCACATGCATTTGGCCACTCCCAGCTTTAACTATACTTTAGAAAGATCACAGAATTAAAGAAAGTTACAGATTATGTTGACAACAGATCATATTTTCTAGTAGCAATTTTAACTTAGGAACCTGGCTTCATTTTTAATTGCAGATTGCTAGGATACTATTTGTTTTTGAGATATAAGAGTTCACAAACTATCCCTATAGAACATATTCCTCTCCACATAGGGTGTAATTTATCATACCCTATACCATTTCATGATAGAGTTCTAACCACAAGACATTTTATTATTCAGTTGATTACATGTGGAGGTTTACCCGTGTAATTTGAAGAAGTTCCTCACAGAGAAGAAATGCAAAGCAGTAATAAGCCTGCTGCTCAGTCCTGTCGGATAAAAGCTGCAAAAAAAGAATATCTTCACATGGCCTCTTAGTGCTTTCAGTGTACAATGTAATATAATGTATTGAATCAGGAAAATGTAATTTCTTGATTCTGTATGGGTGGAGCTACAGGTGGTAAAAAGTTGTCTTTTTGGAAACCATGTAATTGCTTATTTCACATTGCTTTTGAGGTACCATTTATGTTTAAGTTCTCTTTTAAATCTAGTATATGGTGTAAGGATATGGTGTATAAGAACTATAACGTGATCATGTCCTATGGGTTTATTGGACAAATTGATATGATGTGGCCCTTGAAGGTCTACACTATCTTAAGATAATCTTTCATGGAACATCGTCTGGTATTTCATTAATGGAATATTCTTTTCAGTGAGATCCGTGAATGCATACATAGACACATCCAGCATTCTAGGCAAGCACAAAGAAACCAACACCAAGTGCTCTTTTACTATTTTCTTCTTTCTCATTGATTTGATTATATAGTAACAGTCTAATTCCTTAGCAAGAGATTATGAAAAAGAAGTATAAGTAGCTATAATTTCTACTTATCCTTTTTCAATCCAGTGTGCAGAGTAGCAATACGTTAAATTAAATTCTTTCATCTTTTTTTCACTAAAGCTAACAAAAGTCATCTAAGTGAATGATGGGCAGGCAAGCAAAGGTACTAGAAACAGGTGGCCCTAGGCCCTGACAAACAGATGCCTGCCTTATACAAACACAAAACATCAAGTTTAACCTCCAGTGACGGGTCACTTTTTACCAGCGTTCTGTATGGGGCAGAATATTCAGATGGACTCTTCAAAATTTGTATTCTCTGCTACTGCAAAGATTAATTTAATTCTTGTATCATATAGGCAAGAGACTATTTATAAGACTGATTTATATGTGCACATACAACCAGACAGGCCTTATATAATGATATTCTAGACAGAATAATTTTTAAGATTCAGACCTATATCCCTTTCAATAGTAGTCATTAAAATAGAAAGTTAATTCAATTTGAAAAGGAAAAGGGAGTAATTAACCAATATTACATATGTGCTATGTGACATGTTATAATTCTGTATTTTATATTTTTTTCTTGATTTTCGAAGTAAAACTGTCCTTAGATAGTTATTACTTATCCCATTTTACAGGCAAAAAATTGAGGCTTACTGTGCATAATAAATTAGTATGGGATCTAATGCTGCCTGTAGCTTGAAACCCGCTCTCTATATGTACTCTATCTCTATAAATAAAAAGAGCTCACTTAAATCAATTTAGACATAACCAGAAAGCCTTTAAAGGAAAATATGTAAGGTCTTTAGTAGATATATAGCAGGATTTAGTGGGATATATTCAAACCCCTAAGACAAAACTTTCTAACAGAGCTCCTGGTGCCTTAGGCCGCAGGGAGCTGCACTGCTACCCAAAGGTGGTGCCTCTGGTGGTTCAAATCCACATGTGGCCGCTCAGGAAAAAGATGGCAGTCTCCTCTCCTGTAACTTACAGCTTCCAAAAACCCACTGGAGGACCCACGATGAGTTGGTTCCAACTCGACAGCAATGAGAGTTTGAGAAAACTTTCTAAACTTTAGTGTACAACAGTATGAAATATACAACAGATGCAGTATAAAAGAGCAAAACAATATAAAAGAACAAAAAGTTTCAAGTCCTATATTCTGGTCAAAGCTCATATACCAGAAAAATCACTTAATATTTCAGAAGCAATTTCTTCTTCCATAAAAATGAGGGCATTGAACAATGTTATCACTGTGTGGTTCCTTCTCACTGGCATCAATAGTATGTATATTAAAAATATATTTCACATACTGATAAAACCATAGCCTATGGCTATTTGTGTCAGTGTGAACCTGATCCTTTCAGATAGCCTTGATTTTGACCTTTTAAATGTGGTCTTATTCTGGCTTAGGGGTGGGTTGTTTTGGAGTTTTTGTTTCTTTTCTTTTTTTTTTTTTTTCAGTCTCATTTTAAAAGGAGTCACCCAGCCATCCAGCCTTACATATAAACATATATATGGTACAGTGGAAAGGAAATAATGTTGGATTCTAAACTCAAACTGCCCCAAATTGCGTAGCTTTGGACAAATCATTTTTTTACATCCATAGGCTTTAGCTTTGTTCTAAAAATAAGTCCTATAGACTTCCGATACCCCTTCCAGCAGGATCATTCAGTGAGTTTAAGGTTACTTGGAATTGTTGAGATGACTAAACCCTGTGCTTGATTCATCTCACGTACTAAAGGCAGTCATCTTGATTGCATTCTGATGTTTCCATAATTTGTTAATAGAAATGTCAAATATATTGGCTGTAGTGACCAATTGCTGTGTCCCAACCTCACCAAAGAAAGGCAAAGGGGGAGAGGGGGAAAGCAAGAAGTGCTTTTGAGAGCCTTGCATTCTAAAAGTTTCCTACATCAACTTGATTACGTGAACTGAATCGTTTTATCCTAATGAGGGAAAGATGAGCTAGGCTTAAGCTTAAAAATACATGTGATGTAGTAGTTAAAAGGTAGAGTGTTATTCCATGATTAGTGAAGCAAAAGGGCTCCAATTTCAAAGGTAACAAGGAAAATATTTTGTATTCTCCACGGGGCCATAGGCAGCATCCAAAAGTGGCATCATACCTTTGGACAACTCATTGTTATGGGAACCTTATTCCCTTCAACTGAAGGTGTCAGTCATTTGAGTCTGGCTGGAGACTAGTCTTGAAAAGAATGCAAATATGTGCGACCTCATTTTTATTTGAATAGTAACTTCCAAAAAGACCATTTTCTTTTACCTTGGAGGGCTGTGATTCCCCTATATACCTATCTAAATGTCTGTAATTATTTATTATCTCCATATCAATACTTTTTTTGCATTCTAGCGTCAAGTACTGATTTTCCTTTCATCCACGAGTTGAGTCCTTTTGTTGTTTTTTTACAGGATTCCTGTGGTTTATCCCAGAGGACTGATGGGAGATATTCTAAATACAAAGTGCCAAGAGATTCTCTTCAGCTGCACCGAGATGACGCCAAGTACAGAATCAAAAGCTTCAAAGTAATGTCCTTTATGTGCGTTTTCAGTCTTTGAACAATGTCCACATTTACGGCCACAACCTCCTGTAAAGCATCCCCTTCAATGTGCATGTAAGGGCCCTTGGGAAGAGAAAAGATCATTTTCTTAAAAGTATAATTTTATAAAAGTATCATTTCAGTCTTTGGGGAATAGAGAAGGAAAAGTTAAAGACTGGGCTTTTCTTGAGAACTAAGTGTTAAGTTTATGACTTGTTTCATAAATAGTTTGTGGACATTGAAGAGGAGCTCTGGTGGCCAGCTGTGTAGAGTTAGACTTCTAACCCAAAGGCAGCTGGTTCAAATCCACCAGCTGCTCCAAGGGAGAAAGATGGGTAATGTCTTCCAGTGCAATTTACAGCTTCTGAAAACAGCTGGAGGTTCAATTCTGACTTCATGGCACATAACAGCCATAACAAGGACATTGCTGTCACTTAAGAAATTCTAAGCAAGGAAACTTCAGATCATTTGATTGGTCAAAATTGTAATGTAGATGTATTCTCTTTTCTGTGTACAACTTCAGGTACTTCCCACAGTAAAATCTCTACTAAAGGAAGTCACATATTTTTAAAAACATCTATTTCTATTGATTTGATTCTAAGTCATAGAAGGCCCTCATAAATATTAAAGTAGAACTGTGCTCCAGAGGGTTTTCAGTAGCCAATTGTTTTCTAAGTAGATTTCCAAGCCTATTTTCCATGACACTTCTGAGTAAACTCTTACCTATCAACTTTGACGTAGCAGCCAAGCATGTTAAACTTTTGCTCTCGCAAGGGATTCTAAAACCACCTCTGCTCTTTGGAAAGTCTTGGTATCTTTGGCCATTCTTTTACTGAGCATCTGGACTCCATGCTTAGAGTTTTTGACCCATCGAGTTGAGTTCAGCTCCTTGTGACCCAGTCAACAACGGATCTGAACCCTGGCCTGTTCTGAGCCATCCTCGTTACCTGACACCCTTGAGCCCATTGTTGCACTCACTGTGTCTGTCCTGGTCTTTGAATGTCTGCTTCTCTTTCCCAGACCCTACACCTTCCTAGTGAATAGCCTCTTTCAGTAATATACCCAAAGCATGTGAGAACAAGTTTCTCTGTCCTTGATGCTAAGTATCTTTTTGACTGTGAATTCCTTCCATCATGTTGTGATGCTTCCTGGATCATTAAAGATTTTTTCCATCGTATCTTTCAGTATTCCAACTCAAGGCTTGAAGTTGTTTTTCATTCAGTTCTTCCAGTTTGAGAAATGGCAAGCACGTTCTTTCCTCTTTATTCACCAAATTCCAGCTCTTTCCATATTCAATTATACTATTTTGCTTTATCTTCTGTGGCTGTCCTTTGAAATCTTCTATTCATCTCTTTTACTTTGTTATTCCTCCCCTTTGTAGTGGTTTCTTGATGCTCTAGTGCAATTTTCAGAGTCTCTTCTGATAGCCATTCTGGTCTTTTCTTCCTGCTCTGGCTTTGTCACGACATTTTGTTCTCTTTATGTATAGTATCTTTGATGTCTTCCCATAACTCATTCGGTTCTAGTCTAAGATAAATAGCAAGAAAGTCTTGGAAGTTTGGGGGGAAAAAATAATGGTGTTTTCAGTTCCTTTTCATAGTGAGCCTGAGTATGCTAGAACAAAACACTTGCCAGTACTTGACATTCCTATGCCGTCCTGAAAATGTTCACTACATCGCTGCTATATTTTAATCCTTGGTATAGGGCACTGTGCTAATCCATCTTGTTAAAGGTCTTCTTCTTTTTCACCCTATACCAAGCATATTACCCTGTAGAGACTGGCAGCCCCTTTTGACAACATACCCAAAGTCTGTAAGACGAAGTCCAGACATCTTTACTTTCAAAGAACATTCTGCCCGCCCTTATTCCAATGATCCAGTTCACAGAAGGTCATGCATTTGCCACAGAACTGGACACTATTTTGTTCCCTCACACACGGGATCACCCTTGAGTTAGGGCTGATTCAGTGAAAGCTAACAATAATAACAATAGTATTCTAACATTCTCTTCGAGCCTCATATCCCCAAGCCTTAATTCTCTACCATTTAAATGAGTGCCACTCACTTTAAATAAAAGTTAAAATTGTTGTTGTTGTTGTTGTTGTTGTTGTTGTTGTTGTTAGTGTCATTAAGGACAACTCATACTGACTCAGTGAACAACAGATTTGAACCCTGCCCTATTCTGTGCCATTCTCACAATCTCTGAAACACTCAAGCCCATTGCTACAGTCAACTGTCAATCCACCTGGCTGAGGGTCTTCCTCTCTTTTGCCATCTCTTCACTTTTCCAAGCATGATGTCCCTCTCCAGGGAATAACCTCTCCTAACAACATGGCCAAAGTATTTGAGATGAAACCTTATCATCTTTACCTCCAAGGAGTACACTGGCTGCACCTTCACCAAAACATATATGGGATATTCAGTATTTTTCTCCAATACCACAGTTCAAAGGCATCAATTCTTTAGTGATCAACAATTAGCTTATAATAATTGAACATATCTTACAGTGAACCACTTTAAAGTAATTCCACATATCACGTTAGAGTTGGCACCATTATTTTTCTTCTTTTATTAGTGAAGAAATTCAAGTCATAGAACAATGAAACTATGAATCAAGGTCAAAATCTAAATTTATTTTCATTCACAAAGTTCTTTCCATTGTTATCACAGTGTAAATTAAGACCTCATATCTGAATTTTTCTAGAAATCACCAAATAGAGGGCATTTTTAATATGTAAGCCAGATTTCTCCAAAAAAGTCAACACTTGCGTTTTAGTCCCACCAAAGTAAAAATGCAAATGAAAGATTGAAAATAAGAGCTTTAAACGGTTTCAAAAAGATACAGTGGTGATCTGCAAAAACAAAGGCAGCATATTAATACAGAATAACCCAGATGTCTTGTCCATGTCAACAGGCAAGGAGCTCTGGTGACAGAGTAATTTAAGTGCTGCTCTAACCAAAAGATCATCAGTTGAAATCCACTGACCTTTCTGTGGGAGAAAGAGGAGGAAGTCTCCTCTATTAACACTTCAGAAACCACTGGAAGGTCACACAGAGTTAGAACTGACTCAGCGGGGGTGGTTTCTGGGAGAGAAAAAGGCAATGGTGCTCCATTCAAAATGATACCTGAATAATATTCAGAGCATTGTCTTCTAAAAATTCCAACAAGACAAATGAAGACCGCTGTTTTAACCTTGAGTTCAATTCTGATCGATGGAAACCTCTCAAGTTCCCCAGGCTGTAAGTCTTTATAGGAAGACACTGCCACACCTTTCTGTCACAGAGCTCATGATGAATTACAACCACTGATCTTTTAATTAGTAACCCAACCTGTAAGGCATTATGCCATCCTAAACCCCATGTGTAGGAAATTTGATGGCTATGCAACATATGAGCTCTGATGGCCTAATGATAAGAAGTTGTGCTGCAGTCATAAAGGCATGCAGTTCAAAGCCACCATCTGCTCTGTGGGAGAAGGATGGGCAGTCTTCTCCAGTGTTATTAACTGCCTCTGAAAAATCACCGGAAGGTCAGCTGTGTGTTGGTTCCCCTCAACAGTACACAACAAACACCTGCAGCATACGTAGACGCTGCCTTTTTTTCAGCTGACTGGGATTTAACCAAGCCGAAGGCCTGTGCCCAACATTATTTATCAGTAAATTTAGGTTTGGCTTCGGATAAATCAGTACTATCTAGTGACACCAAATTGCTGTAAATTAATATGATTTTCCTAACAGCATGTGGCAGTGATCTGTGAATGTTTAACATGGTCAACAAATTATTTCATTGTATTTCTCTTTAAAAGGACATCTAGAGTTGATGAGGAAATCAGGCCTAGTTCAAAATTATTACCAACTCTCGGTAAAATGAGAAATAGCTTTGAAAACAGACAATGCAAGTGTAAGAAGGGGCCAAAAGCACTTTTTATGATGACAGTGCTCTACGTTGATACTATCTAATAGATTTTAGAGCTGCTTTCTTTACAAAAATTGATGCCAAAAATAATTACTCAATTTGAAACATTTCCAGAAGTAGCATATGGTCAAGAACTAATGATACTTCATGGAAGAAATGCAGACTTCACTGGAGACGTTGGCAAAAAAAAAAAAAAAGTCTTCTGGAGTTGACAGAATACCAGTTGACATATTTCAACATATTTTAGCCCTTGCCGCACTCATTCATTGATGCAAGAAACATAAACAGTCTTCCCAGTATCCTGGAAAACCTACAACCAGGAGAAGATAACGTAGATGAATGGGATCTTCTAAGACTCAAATCCCTATGCACATCCAAAAACTTCTCCAACAGGGTAAAAAGGGAGGCCACTGACTGGGAAAAAGTTTTCGGTAATAACATATCAGATAAGGGACTTATATCCAGAATTTATGAAATACTTGAGCACCACAACAAGATAAAGGTAAAGAATCCAATAGAAGAATGGGCACAGGATATGAACAGGCACTTCACCGAAGACGACATTCAGATGGCTAACAAGCACATGAAGAAATGCTCAAAATCCCTAGCCCTAAGAGAGATGCAAATTAAAACAACTATGAGATATCATCTCACCCCAGTCAAAATAGCAAAATTTAACAGAACAGCAAGCAATAAGTGCTGGCGAGGTTGTGGGGAAACTGAAACCCTTATTCACTGTTGGTGGGAGTGTAAAATGGTGCAACCCCTGTGGAAAGCGGTATGGCGCTTTCTCAAAAAGTTGCAAATAGAGATACCATTTGACCTCGCAATACCACTACTGGGAATATACCCAGAAGAGACCATAACTGACACCCAAGCAGAGATATGCACACCCATGTTTATTGCAGCTTTGTTCACAATAGCAAGGAGTTGGAAACAACCTAAGTGCCCATCAACAAACGAATGGCTAGAGAAGTTGTGGTATATTCGCACAATGGAATACTCTGCTGCATTAAAAAACAAGGAACTCATGCAATATTACTCAAAATGGTTGACTCTGGAGAACATTATGCTGAGTGAAATGTCCCAGTCACAAAGGGACAAATATTGCATGGTGCCACTGTTGTAGAATGGGACTATCCTTGGGGTTGGGGAGAGACTGAGTAAGATGGGTTCAATAATGTATGCTGCTCTGAAACAGAGAAGGAAGAAAAGTGTTTAAAAGAGATATGTGATTAGGTATTTCGGTCATGACAGGAGTCTAGAGCGATGGCTACATAGTGGAGTGGACCTGGGGGAGGGTTTGTAAAATAATGAAAGAATCTTTTCTTTTACTTTTCCAAGAGGGTAATGTCTGGTGGAGGGGAGCCTTGGGAGGGGACAAATCTACAACAGTGAATGAATGGAAATCCAAAGCCTCTGTAAATTTTCACTGAAATTAATAACAAATTTAAATTTAAAAAAAGAATTAAGTTAAAGTAAGGATGGCAATGGAACCACCTGTAACTTGATTTGTGCCACTATTAGAACCTCTACTCAGAATATTATTGCTTTTCAATTTTTGACTCATGCACTTTTAACTTGTTAGTTAAACTTGTATCTTCTAGGCTGCAACATTTCCATGATACATCTTCAAGGATATGAACATGTACGGCTAAGCACAATTTATAACAGTGCATCTAAATTCCAAAATCAATCTCCATAATAGTCTATGTGTTTCCTACTGCCAAAGGGGCCCTTTAGAGTAGTGAGAGAAAACATTGACCCTGAAACCCACAGCGTCACTTTCCAGCAGGAAGTAGCTAAGAGAATACACCATCCCCTTTTCCTTATGAATCGGGGTGAAGTCTCTCTCAGGGAGGAGTGATAGGGAATGGCAAGGGACACACTGACAAAGGAGATTAATCAGAACTGGCTTTGACAAGCACTGTGGCAATTGGACAATTAAAACAGACATTGGGGTGGGGGGAAAGAAGAACAAACTGGGGAGGAGGGTGGAGAAAACAGTGCAACAATGAATGAATGAAAACCCGAAATCTCTGCAAATGTTCATTAAAACTAATAAAATTTAATAATAAAAAACAAAACAAAACAAAACAAAAAAAAACCAACCAGCTACCTGGCCAGCTGACTAGGAAAGATCCATAGTTGGGCTTATTAAATATATTTAAATACAAACAAACAAAAACCCAATAGTGATCCAACAGAATTCAGAAATTACTAAACAATATCATTACCTAGGAAGGGAATGGTTGTAAATACAAGTTGAATTCAGAAAAGGCTGTCGAATAAGGGCTATTATTGTTAATATTAGATGAATTTTGGCTGAAAGCAAAGAATACCAGAATGGTGTTTTAGTGGCTATGCAAATGGATTCAGTTGTGGGGATCTTCGTAAATTTTGGACAATATTCAGAAGAATGAGACCTCCACAATACTTTATTGTGCTCATGTGAAACTTGTACATGGACCGAGAAGCCATCATTTGAACAGAACAACAAAATACTGTAAGTTTTAAAATCAGGACAGCTATATGTCAGGGTTATATCCTCTCACAATGCCTATCCAGTCTGTATGTTGAACAAATAATCTAAGAAGACAGCCTCACTATATGAGGAGAAGTCATCAATAACTTATAATATGCAAATGATTCAACCTTGCTTGAGGAAAGTGAAGGGAACTTGAAGATTTTACTAAAGAAGATCAAAGAGCATACTCTTCAGTATGGAAAATCTCAACATAAAGAAAGTAAAAAATTCTCCTAATTGCACCCATAAACAACATCATGATAAGCAGATAAAGACTGAAGTTGTCAATGATTCCATTTTACTTAGACCTACAATCCACACACGTGAACATAGCAATCGAGAAAACATACTGAATTGCGATAATCTAGTGCTCAGAACCCTCTTTAGAGTGCTAAAGCATAAGTGTCTCACTCTGAAGACTAAATTGTGCATGACTCGAGCTTTGGCATTTTCATTTCCTTCATATCCATGTGTGAGAGTTGGACAGTGGATGAGGCAGGCCCAAGAATTGATGCCTTTGAGCTGTAGTGGTGGCAAAGAAGTCTTTGCCCGAGTCCTCCTTAGAAGCAAGGAGACTAAGACTTTGTCTTATACTTTGAACATGTTACCAAGAGGCACAAGTCTTTTGTAAAGGAAACAGTACTTGGAGAAGTAGAGAGTTAGTGAAAGACGAGAAAACCCTCAATGAGTTAACACAATGACTACATCAACAGGTGTGAGCACAGCCGAGGTGGTGAGGAGTGCCAAGGACAGGGCAGGCTTTCGTTCTGTTGGACCTAAGGGTGTCTGTGGGTCTGATTTGACTCAATGGCAGCTCATAATAACAAGAAGTATTTCTAATCTCTGATCCACTTTAGGGGCAAATACTAAGCCTCATCACTATATGTAGCAAATATCTGACTTTAAATGAAGTATTACGCAAAATTGGTGAATATCATCACCTCCTTTTAAGCCACTGGAGAGGAAAATGTGAGGTCGTATTTTGCCAAATACAGATAACAATGACCTTTAGCTCATAGGACTTTTAGAAAACTAAGTTATTAAGACTGAGAAGCTACGCATCTTCAAAAGAACAATGAGCCCAGACTAGTAGCAAGACATTAGCAATTTCTTAGCTGCTTGGATAATCAGAAAAGAGGGACATCATGCTGGGTAAAGTGGAGGGACAGCGCAGGAGGGGAAGACCCTCTATGAGGTGGATTGATTCAGTGACTGGGGTACTCAGGATGGGTGTGTCAGAGGCAATGCAATTGGCACAGGATAGAGCAGGGTTTAGGGCTGTTGTACATAGGATCACTAGGAGTCGCAAGGGACTCGATGGCACATAGCAACAACAACCTTACTTAATCATCCACTTTCTGAAGCCACAGAGGCATCAAGGCTTTTCCTTCAAGCAGGACCACGCCTATTCAGCACCCTTCGTCTTGGAAGGCCTTAAATCAGCAGCTGCTGCCTTATCCCACATGTTGCTAGGGCAGGGAATCAAAGGAAACCATGCAAGGACTTGAGTTCATTGGTATAGATCGCAGTTTAATTCTGCAAATAAGCACTATTGTTATTGTTAGGTGTTGTCGAGTCAAATAGTGGCTTATAAGAGACCCTGTGAACAATAGACCTGAATCCTGGCCTGGCCTGTGCCATCCTCATCATGTCTGATAAGGTTAAGCCCATTGCTGCACTCAGCGTGTCAGTCCATCTTTTGCAGGTCTGCCTCTCTTTGGCTGATTGCCCCACTTTTCTAAGCATGGTACACCCCTTCCAAGGAAAAGCTTCTCCTAACCACAGTATCACAAAGCATTTTACCTGCCTGTTGGTGTGGGTGACATATAAACATCCAAGTGACATAGTCTTCAAATGTAGAATCTGGCTCTCTTAATCCTAATAAATAACCTTTGCATGGTTTATTTCATCAATAAACCAAACCCAAACCCCCCAGCCTTGGAGATGAGTAGCACTGCTGGTAACCCTCCAGCCAGTTACTCAAGGTAGAAATCTTCATGGGCGAAGACTGTCCAACTCTCTCCCATGAAGCAGCTGGTGCATTTGAACCATTCACTGTTAGGTTAACCGCACATGCACCAGACTACACCACAGGGCACCATTTACCGATACAAGAGGTCAGCTGACTATTGCTCACTGGCCCACATCTAGCCTGCAGCTTGTTTTTGTGTATATAACTAAGGTGCACCTGATGCAGGCCATGGGCTTTGCAATTACTTGCTATGCTTTAGAGAGTTGGACAATGACTAGGGAGGATAGAAGGAGAGTTGATGCCTTTGAGCTGTGATGCTGGAGAAGAATATTGAGGGTACCATGGACTGCTAGGAAAACAAAGAGATTCATCCTAGAGAGGGTGAGACCAGGCTGCTCCTTGGAGGCAAGGATTCTGAAGCTTCGTCTGACATACTTTGGACATGTTGCAAGGAGGGACCAGTTCTTGGAGAGGGACGTCATGCTTGGGAGGGTGGAGGGACAACGCAGGAGAGGGTGACCCTTGATGAGATGGATTTATTCTGTCACTGGGGTAATGGGGGTAGGCGTGTCAGAGACAGTGAGATTGGCAAGGGATAGAGCAGGGTTAAGGTTGTACATAGGGTCGCTATGTGTTGTAGGTGACTTGATGGCAGAAAACAACAACAACCTTGTGGCGACACGGTCACACTTAATTCATTCACTCATTGGCTATGCCTTCCCACTCAACTCGTGATGGAGATAATATGCCTTGAAAGCCTAAAATCCTTGATTTGGTTATTTATGGGGGCAGGGGGATGTACCAACCCCTGGTGTGAGGGGAAATATTACAATGTACTCCTTCCTTCACAAAAAAATATTTCCTGACCTACATTGATGATATAAATACTTACTGCCCAAACTCTTTTGAAAAATCGGTGCTTATGCACTCAATCAACAAATATTTACGAAGTGTCTGCACTGTGCTAAGATCCTTCTAGGCATGTGAGGTTAACATCAGTAAACTCAACAGCTAAAAAGAAAAAAAAAATCCCATGCCTTTTTTGCTCACCTGTCCTAGTAGACAAATATGCATGTTTGTTGTTGATTTTAACACAATATTCAGCAAGAGTGTATTGAACTTCTGTAGTAACCAAGGGCTCAAGAGAATGTCATGATAAGAAGAACAGTAACCAACCCCTCAGGATTTCAAAGCCTTCCCTAAAAACATCCAGAGTGCAAAGGAGAAAGGGATAAATGGTATAAATGAGACCTCAGTGAAGTGCCATGGGCGTTCAAAAGAAAGAGTTGCTCAGGAATCTTTTGAAAAGATGCCTTTGATGACAAGTTATGGGGAAGTGTTTCATCTGCAGCTCCGTTTGAAAGTAGCTCTCTTAGCATCATAGTTGCAGAACCCTGACTGTATTGCTGTTGACAGAGAAATCACTATTGGAATCACAGAGCCCTGCTGGCTGCATTGCTGCTGTTGTGAGAAGCCAGGGAGACATCCAATAAGGAGGACAGAAGGCTGGTGGAGGGCAGGCATAGCAGGAAGTGTGCACTGCAGGTTCTCTTTCAGTGTAAGGCAAGAGCGAGCCTCCTACTGTTGATGCCCATAGCAATCACCGAGATAATAATGATCAGAGTTTAAGAAACCTGCAAAGGACTTGAGCAGGACCAAGGTCTGTAATTGCTATAGCATTAATGTAATAATGTTACACTGAGCTGACCAAGAAACTGGAGGAAGGCTTATCTGCAAGCTTCCATTTAGAGTTGGACTTGAAATTGATTCCAACACACTGTCTCTGTACACAGCAGAGGTGTTTCATGGCTTCCCTTTCATCAGGTCTGTATGGTTTCAGAAGGACAGATGGGCTTCTTTGCTGTCCCAGCTGTTCCTAATAGAACTGAATGCGCAGAGTCAGCCACAGCACTGCTAATCTGAATTCACAGAAGAACATGATTTTGTCCAAAAAATTAGTTACTTTCTACCTGCCCTTTTTGCCCCCTACCCGTACGAAATATGTGGTTTTAATTAGCCCTGGATTTTTTGTTGTTAAAGTAAAATCACAGAAGACGTGCTTGTCTCCTGACCTTCCTCTCCTGCAAAAAAAAATCATGATTTTCATTTTCTATTCAGAGAGTTTCTTTTTCTTTTCTTTTTGAAAAGCAGATGTTTTTCCAGGATAAGCTGATAGGTGAGCATGTGTCTGTAACCACTTTCAGCAGAGTGGAAGGGAGAACTTGCTAAAGCCCTTTGTAAAGCCCGTTGTCATATTTGTTCCATGTAAGTTTGCGTATGGTGTCAGGACACACGTTGTTTCTGGAGGTCACGTCTCCCTCACAGACTCACACACACTCTCTCTCTCTCTCTATCTCTCTGCTGTGTTCATACCTTTCTCGTAGCAACTGATGGCTTTTAAGCACTTTCTTCCTAAGTCAGCTGTATCTGTTCTACTTTAAAGTTTCCACAGCAGTGTTTTCTACAACATGCTGTACATAAACCCTGGTACCACTCAAGACTGATAGACACATTTCATTTTAATGTTATTTCTTTTAATCGCTGTTAACAGATGTCACTAATGCGTTCTTCATGTACTTTTACATATATTATTGCTTGGGACCAATAGTGACAGTCATGAAGGCATTTGAGGAAGGTTTAACACCACAGTACCCCATTATCTCATTTAGAACCACTTCTCTTAGTCCTTGATAAGAAATCTCATGTACACTATTGTGCAAAGGCCACTGCATGGATTCCCCAAGCTCAAGGTGGCACATGAAGTTTGTAGTTGGTTTCTAATCTAAAGGTTAGTTAGCATCTCAGACTCACCCAGCAGTTAAACACAAAAAAGACTTGACAGTCTACTTCTATAAGAATAACAAGTAACCTCCATTGGCAGTTCTAGTCTGTAATGCCTGAGGTCCTTAAGTCAGTCAGCTCACTGTTGTTATGTGCCGTCGAGTCGTTTGGGACTCATAGCGACCCTATGTACAACAGCCCTAAACTCTGATCTGTCCTGTGCCAATTGCACTGTCTCTGATACACCCATCCA